GACATGCCCTTATATTATACATAGTAAATCACTTGTTTACAATCTAATACAACTATTTTTAATTAAAATTCATTCAACAAAATCCGACATCATCTGACAGCTAGTGGCAGATATCATTAAATATAGTTATATTACGTGGTATTTTTGTGGAGATTGGGGAATATTTCTTGCGTCAACTACTGATATAAAAACATAGTGGGACTGAGTTGTTTCACCACGCGAATGTTGTATAAATGTACCAAAAAAAGAAAATCCGCTCATTGGTTCTCGTGTCGAATCATGCGGACAGACAGACACGATCATCTCTACATGCGTTATTTTTATGCAGATAGTGTAAAGAACGCATAATGATGTGAATATAATACAAGACCAGCTAGGAGATTATTTCACGAGTCCAGCAATTGCCATTGAAAGCGATTTCTCTGCAGATTTTGCCCCAGTGTTAAAAAATTAAAACTGTGGTACTATTTTCTGGTTAAATACGTGGTTACGTACACCGCCCAATATTTTTTTTGCTTAGCGGAGATGGGAGACACATTCCCCCTCTCATAGAGGTCTGTACCGGTCGAACTTTTAGAATTGCACCCTGCCGAAGAGCATTTGACCCCACATCCGTTTTTTCGAACTCAAATAACGCCCGATCTATTTACAATCTGCCCTGAGTATTTATCATTATTACACGTTTCTTTTAATACGTAAATGCTAGTAATACTTAAATGAATTATTTAATGACACTCTAAGACCACGTGAGATTATTTTGACTAATGAGGAACGGTACAAATATATCGGATGCCAAACTTATGAGGCCTCGGGTCATGCAGGGTCGGGCCGAGACCCCAACCCCTTTGCCCAATTTGACAACAGCGTAGTTTATGAGCGAACACTGTGACACAATGGTGACAATGCCTAAAAGTATTTAGGACGAGAAAGTTACTAATGTTTTGTGATCGAAGTCTTGGAAAAATGTTTTTCATGTTTAATTAATAACGCGTGTAATGACTACTGGCACTGTTAAGAGACACTCCAATATTGCTGCTGATATTTAAATAAACCTGATTCGAACGAAAAGGTTTCGCGGCAATGTTTGTCACTTGTTTGCTGTCTCTTGGTGTCGACCATGACGGGTAATTTGTATTTTAAAACATATTGTCGCGTGGGTTGGTTTTTACGACCTTGATTGTCAACCCTTGATTTATTCTGGGATATGCTACCTCAAATTCGATCTGACTGTAAACTTGGTTGGATTGTAAGAGACCACGATGTCGATCCTGGGCAGCAATCCTTCTTGGTGACGTTGTTCAGCTTCCTGTAGTCAACGCAGAACCGCAGTTCCCCGTTCTTCTTCCGCACAAGCACGACGGGCGACGACCACGGGCTGTCTGATGCCTCGATCACACCTCGTTCCCCCATGTCCCTTAACATACCGTCCACCTCTTCCTGTTTCGCTAACGGAAGTCTTCGAGGAGGCTGACGGATCGGACGAGCATCGCCTGTGCTGATGCGTTGGAGCACTCTGTCCGTCCGCCCATAACCATTGTTTTCTGTCACGAAGGCATCATGAAACTCGAGGACCAATGCCTTCAGCTCTCTGGCTTCCATTGTCGTCAGGTTCGGGATAGCATCGGCGACCATGCCCTGCAGTGGCTTGCACAGCTCTCTGTTTTGCGACGGAGGTTCTGTATTGCCAGTCGGGCCCGCCCACGTGACCGGTTCACACAGGCCCAGGGTTGTGCCTTCCGCCAGCACTTGGTCGCCGTCCCCGACATTCACGATTCGCACAGGCACGCTGCCCCGGGTGCGGACTAGTGCCCTGGCTACGTATAGTCCTCGTGGTAAAGGGTCCACACCAAGTTCTATTATTCCGCTCGCCATTCTCACGGGATCGTTCATCCGTGCCATCACCACCCTCTCGCACCGCGCCGGTAT